GCACAGCAGTAGCAGTAAGTTTTGAGGTCGAGTTTTATAAGCCCGATTCCCCCGGTGCCCTAAAAAACAGCGACCATATATCCCCTCCTGGCACTTAATGTTTTTGATAGGGATCACTAACCAAAAACAAACAAAAAAAACTGTCGCAGGTCGGAACTCCCAGTTGATGGGGGGCATGACGAGCATGGCGGCCAACTCATACAGCGATCATATATCCCCTGTTCACACACTTAATTAGTAAGGGCCGCTAACCAAAAATAATAAACAAAAACGGTCGCAGGTCGGAACTCCCAGTTGATGGGGGGCATGACGAGCATGGCGGCCAACTCATACAGCGATCATATATCCCCTGTTCACACACTTAATTAGTAAGGGCCGCTAACCAAAAATAATAAACAAAAACGGTCGCAGGTCGTAACTCCCAGTCGATGGGGGGCATGACGGCGGAATCTGACGGCGACGGCGGGGAGAGCTTCGTGTCCAGGGCGGGGTCTTACGCTCTTACGGACATCGGCGTGGGACACTCGGATCAGGTTTGTTTTTAAGAGATTGTCCAATGTGTCTTTGTGTGGAGCTTGTCTTTGTGTCTTGTGTCTTGTGTGTCACGCACATGGGCGTCGGACACTCGGATCAGGTGTGCTTTAAGAGATTGTCGAACGTGTCTATGTGTAGTTTGTCTTGTGTCTTGTGTCTTTGTGTCACGCACATTGGCGTCGGACACTCGAATCAGGTGTGTTTTAAGAGATTTTCTAACGTGTCTATGAGCAGCTTGTCTTGTGTCTTGTGTGTCACGCACATTGGCATCGGACACTCGGATCAGGTGTGTTTGTGTAAGAGGTTGGCTTGTCCGGGAGGATACTGTATATGACACGAGATAACACACCCCTTAGACCGATTTTTCAAAGCTCGATTACTCCATAACGAAGAGGATGCATAAACGAAATGACACATTTTCGAAAAGCTCTCGACGAGACGGTCCCAACGCCGCCGTTTTCGGCGCTGTGACCCATCCTGCTGTTGAGAAATCGGGCTTTGAAAACCGGTCAAGGGGGTGTGTTATCTTGTGTTTTATACGGTACGGTTGTTTGTTGTCTCTGCATGACATCTTTTTTGGTTCTCGTGACAGTGTTGATCGAGACCATGACGGCGTTTGTATTTCGTTGCTCTCTGTGATCACATTATTAGCAACCAACAGATTCAATCCTACAGACAAATGGCCAAAATAACAAAATACGTTCACGTCCACTGCCACGCCTTCGAGATATATACACCTTCCACAGTTGAACCGTTCCTGTCTCTGAACAAATGTACGGCACTTTTTTTTTTTTCTTATGGCAGGGTCGATGTCATCATGCCCTTTGTATTTTCGTTGTTTGCGGTCTTCACGTTTTTTCGCCGCCACGACCTTGGAGATATATACGCCTGCCGCACCCGAACCGTTACAGGTGTTTGTATTCTATGGCGCGTTTTTTTTTTCCTTCTTCTTATGGCAGGGTCGAGGTAACACGTTATTTCGACGCCACGACCTTGGAGATATATGCGCCTTCCACACCTGAACCCTTACCGGTCTTTGTATTCTGTGGCGCGTTTTTTTTTTTTCCTTCTTCTCGTGGCAGGGCCGAGGTAACCAGGCGGGCAAGGCGGGTGGAGATTCCGGCGCTGGGGCGCTTTCCCCCACTTCCACTCTCATGCGCTCTGTCCACGTGAGTGGAACAACAATCAACACCGTCCGTATGTAGTGTAGGTTGCGTTAGACGTGTCATTGCACCCCCTGGACCGGTTTTCGAAGCTCGATATCTCGGCAGGAAAAGGCAGTGACGGTGCCCAAAAAATGGCGGGAGGCGTTGGAACCGTCGTCTAGTCGAGAGAGCTTTTTCCGACAACGTATGCTTCAGTTTCGGCATCCTCTTCTTGGTCGTGGAGTAATCGAGCTTTGAAAAATGGGTCCAAGGGTGTGTGGTATCTTACGCAACCTACTACGGTATGTGTGCTTTCTGTGTGTTTTGTTGGCGGTCTTCTGATGAGTTTTTTTTTTTTTTTTGCCGCTGTCGCCACCCCTGTTCAGGGTAACAGGTAGCGTGGTGGACATGTTGTGTATTGTAGGAGGAGAGGAGAGGCGAAAGACGCTTCAACGTAGAAACACCACGTACAGAGGCCACGACTAGAATGGGTCCATAGAATATGGAACCCGAAAGAAGTAGGTATTGTGCAACCTATCTTGCATTTCGTCGGCGTGCTGGTGTACACTTGGTGGACCATGAACGCATCACACAGAAACAACCCGTCTTGCATTTCGTTTCGTCGGCGTGCTGGTCTACACTGGAGAGCACGCAAGCATGCAAGCATCACATGCAGCAGTATCCAACTAACTGTCTTGCCGTTTTGTCGGCGTCCTGGTGCACACTCAAGAGCACTCAAGCATGAAAGCAAAACACAGAATCAAACTGTCTTTGTCATCTCGTCGGCGTGCTGGTCCACACTCAGAGCACTCAAGCATCAAAGCAACGCCCACAGCAGTATTTATCAAACTGTCTTTGTCTTCTCGTCGGCGTGGATGTATGTGTGCGTCCTTGCTTCCTTTCGCTGTGCGTGCGAAGGGCACGAATGAGCGCACTGGGGTGATTGCCGTATTCGACACAAGAAAGCACACCTCCTGGACCTGTGTTAGTTTTTCGATCCTTATCTCAATTTCTCTAACCCACCAAGTTATTTGATTCAATCAAGTGATAGAGAGCATTAACTGTATGCGTGCCTCCTTCCTTTCATGTTGCGCGAACGAAGGGAATGAGCGAGGTTGGCACGGAGCGTGACTCGTACGGATCCGAAGCTGCCTACACGAACGCGTCGGACAGTCCAGGGGCTCACAGCGGCTGGGAGAGGGCATGGATGCGGCAGCGAAACGACGCCAGGTGATATATATATGTATATACATATTTTTTTTTTTGTGTTGGCTTCTTTTTGGAGGAACGTAGATGTTTTCTTTTTTATGCGGTGTGCTCCTTTTAAAGGAAAGTTGCTGGTTGTTTTTTTATGCGGGCTTCTGTGTTTTCCTGTCTGTGCGGGCTTGTGGACGAAAGTTGTGTTGGTTTTTTTCATGCGTTGCCTTCTTTTTTGCCTCATTTTTTTTTTGTGCATGTCGGTGTTATCTGACGAACAGCACC